TCTCAAACTACTCTCCTCGGCCGATGTGCTGGCGGCTGAACCTGTCAAACCATGTTTTACCACACCGCCGTTTACTCACTTTATTCCACGTTTCTTCAACCTTCATTCGAGTTCACAACGCCGTGCAGCCTTGGGTGAGCGTTCTCGACATACGGATCAGGAGTCTCGGTCCGAGGGTGCGCCAAGTCTTGTTGACAAGGCATTTCTATCGCCCCATTCCCAATTCAAGCTGGCAACCTTCAATATTCGGATGCTGCTGCAGATTGGATCACAGGCAGCCCTTCCTCGCACTCTAGGAATTTTGGTCATTGATGTCTGCTGTCTCAGCCAGATCCATTTACAGGACTCTAGCACGATGCTGCGACTAGTTTCACCGTCTGCGAACTCCTGGCATTTTCACTTTGTGCCTATCTGGAGACTCGACCGCCGAAGCCACTGGTTATGCTGATGTGTGGATTGCGTTGAGCACACGTGCTGAGGCCGCGCTACTACACCATTTCCCGGCCAAGTTGTCCTCTTGGGCAACAGAAATAATCCGAGGGGGCATTCACCATGAGTATACTCAATTAATCTGTTCCGTGCGTAGGAGCTGAAGCGTTCCACCTGCACCCCTATGGCTTAGTGCGTCTAAGGTCCAATTGGCTAAAGGCGATGGGCTATACACGCACACCTACACACCTGCACAAGTGACTGGCGTACGAACGGAACAAATTAATTGAGTAGACTCATGTTGAATGCCCCTTCAGATTATTTCTGTTGCCCAAGTGGACAACTTGGCCGGGAAATGGTATAGACCGGATCCCTGTCATCAATCGACTATGCGCGATCCGACTTGAAACCTCAGTGCGACTGTCCAGGCGCGAAGCCAGCAGACGCTTTCTATTCATTGTCACAGCATACGCTCCCACAGATTGCAGCCCGGAGTCCGTTAAGGACGACTTCTATAGTCAACTGCCCGAGCTCCGTCGAAAGCGCCTTACCGATATCGTGGTGCTCGCCGGGGACTTTGACGCGCAGGTCGGTAGACTTGAGGTTGACGAACATGAACTTGGTGCTCAACACGGCCATGGCACTCGTAGAACAGATAACGGTGATCGCCTACTACAGTTTTGCGCCGATCACGGCCTGTTTCTATCGAGCACTAGCTTTCAGGGATCCTGGCCCCAACGCGCCACCTGGAGACCCCCACCACCTGGCCAGCCATAGACACAAATTAACCATACCGCCGTTAGCTATCGCTGTCGGGGCTGCCTACAGGATTGCAAATCAATCTGGAGTACCTGTCTCACTTCTGATCATGCGCAGGTGTGTGCCAAGGTCACGCTACATTTTGGTGGCTCCCAACTGCTTCGCAGGAAACGGCTTGACGTAGGTAAGCTTTCTACCTCCAATTTTCTCCGTGCATTTCAGAATTTCTCGGCCTCAAGACTGAAGACTGTCTAATCCACTGACATGGGAGCATACTGGACACAATTCCGCGTCGCCATGTTCAACTTTGCAACCGTAGTCTGTGGATTCACCAGTAGTCCTGTCGACCAGTGGATCTCTGCACAATCCCTCCAACTTCTCGAAGCCAGTCGAGCAATTCCTGCTAGCGTTAAATACCATTCACTACGCATGACTACTAACGCTGAGCTCAAACAGCTGCTCCAGGAAGATCGCGAGGTCTGGTAGACGTAGCGGGTTTTTGTGATAGAGCAAGCGGCCACCTCGGGGTATTTCCGTAAGCTTTCCCTCCTGCTCCCTTCTACTGGCGGCAAAAGGCCGGTTGTAAGCGAATTTTATGCACGAGCAATGGCTAACCAAATCTCTGTCGCAAACGCCGACTCGAGCGTTGGGCTGAACATTTTGAGCAGCAGTTTAATTGGCCAGCAGCACCAATAAGTTCCCATTCTGGAGTACAGAGCGCTCTCTGGTGTTTATACTCTTCATCACCATCCGAGTCTGAGGTTGTCCAAAAGCTTCGCCTCTTTAAGCGCTATAAAGTCCCTAGCCCAAATGAACTCCCTCCGGCTCTTTTCAAAGATGGTAGCCCATCACTAGTTCAGGAGTTAACCTCTATCCTCCAAGAGATCTGGCTCAATGAAGTTATCCCATTTTATTGGAGCCTAGCGCATACCGTTCCCGTCTTCAAAAGGATACCTCAACTGACTGCGCCAACCACAGAGGGATTAGTCCCATCTTTGTTGCTTCCAAGGTGCTCACAGCTCTGCTTTTAAGTAGGCTCAGCCTGATTCGCGAACAGAACATATGTGAAGAGCAAGCTGGCTTCCTCTCAGGTCGGAATTGCATCGATCACATCTTGACATTCCTCCAAATACTCAAGCGTCGTCAAACATTTGGTCAATCAACGATCGTTGTCTTCTTAGACATACGAGCCGCGTTTCACTCAGTCAACAGAGCTGCTTCCTGTAATTTTATACTGAGAAGGGGAATGTCCGAGAAGTATTTCACCTTACTTCAAGCCATCTACTCTCAAACTTCGAGCCGAGTGTCCTTTAGTATATATATATATATATATATATATATATATATATATATATATATATATATATATATATATATATATATATATATACTGACTTTCAGGGTGACCCTAACTACCAGACTCAGACGATGACAAGGGATCTCTGAATCGACCGTGAACGTTAGTGAGTGGCAAGGCCTGTGAGACGGAGAAAGCCAGTGTTTTTGGAGACAGCCTAGTGCTGTTCCAATGCATCCGAGACCCGCATCCTGGAAAGTCATAAGTTAGTGAGACATAATCTGAGAAAGATGGACAGTTGATCCATTCTTAGCGTCAGCAGTCTGCTGACTTGAGCTGTGTTCATGCCATGCCTTAGCCATCGAGCACAGCAACTGTGATGTGTCCAACGTTTCAGCAGCATAGAACCCTCCCATCTCTGCCTGGATATAGGCCCACGACGTGTCAACTCATGAGCCAACAAACGTACACCTTTCGTTACACAATTGACAGTGACAACAGCACAGCCCATGCAGCTGGGCAATTAAGCGGTGCGACGACCAGGCAATGGGCATTTAGACGATGAAAATTTAGCATATTTATGAGAAAAGAATCTGTCTTTTGAAAAACTGGGCAATAAAACGGAATAAGCTATAAGCTGGAAGGGCCATAAAGCGGGTTCGACTGTATCACACCTTCCGCATCGGAAGAGATCCGACATGAGTTTGCCGTGTTGAAACGAAACAATGCTCTTGGACCTGACGACCTTCTTTCATCTTTGCTAAAAACCGGAGGTGACTCTTTGCTGACTGAACCTGCTACTCTGTGTAACACGATTTGGACACTGAGGAGATGCCTTCAGACGGGCGACTGTCAACTTTAGGAAGCGTCAGCGTACTTTGTGCAGAATTCATCCAGGCATTAGCCTTATTTTCACTGCCTCAAAACTTTTCACGGGTATCGTTCTTTGATATGAGAGCCGAATCACTGAAGACCAGGCTGGTTTCTGCCCTGGTCGTGGTTGCATCGACCACATATTTACTCTTCGCCAAGTGTTAGAGCGTAAACACACATACGAGCGACTATGGTGGTTTTCCTTGGCTCGAAATCCGCCGTTGACTCTGTTGGTTGCGCTAGCTTGTGGCATTTAAATTCCCTTCCATTCTGAAGCCTCTCACTTGACTCCCAAGGCCGTCTACAGAAAGCTATCTCCTGAGTTCTCCACGACAAGTGGGGTTTGTCAGGCTTGTCCCCTATCTTCTTTTCTCTCCATCTTTGTACTCAAAACGTCATGTATGACTCAGATCTTTCAAACTACCGGATTGAATTTTGCCAATTTACCGACTAACAAACCTTGAATATGTGGACGACAGTTCTCTTTGGGTCTAACGCATTGGCTATGCAAACACTGCTGGATAGGCTTCGGAATGTACTTTGAACCTTTAAAGTGCAAAGTACTGTTACAGGGCTAGACCGATGCGCCACCGATTCTAGCTGTAACTGATGTGTCGGCTCACGTATCTTGGTAGCTGTGGCACCTCTGGTGGTCACATCACTGAGGATGTTACTTCCGCTATCAGCAGAACCCGCGTAGGTTTCCACATGCTCAACCACTTGTGGAGACGGAGAATATCATCCTGCAATAAGTCCATGGTTGCTGTATGGATGAAAGGCTTGACCATTTCGCAGTGAAGACATTAAACGCTTGTCCATATTTGACCACCGGTGTTTGCGGAGTAATGCTCAAATTTAGTGGGAATACCGTGTGATCAATCCTGAGATCCACCAGTTAATTTTGGCAAGAAACCTGATGTCTTACTCGAGTACTTCTCTTTTGTTTCTTAACCCCCTACTTTGGCTAGTTCATATTCTAGGTATCCTCTTCACCCGCCTTTTTCGTCGGGCATTATACACCGTGGCTGCTGCAAGTTGGACGAAAGTTCGAGGTGACCAGTCGATGACGTGACACGAAGATATGAAGATATTGTCTGAGACTCGGTCAAGCTGGTGCGTGCCATCTTCGTGGATGGAGACCTCGGGATGGTCCATACCAATTATTTGAGATCCTATCAGGCATAGCACAGTCAGTGGCGTTCCTGCATTTAGTTTCTTTCTTCTAGCCTCTAATTGTCATTTCAACATGCTCCCTTTAACCCACTTTTTACTTGCTTTCAATTTTTACATTCCACCTCTATCCAACATTTTGTTGCCGTTTTTATTGTTATTCTGGCGACTTGAGCCGTGGCAACTGGATCCACAGCACTTCGGTGCCCGGATCATGATTGTTTAACTGAACTGATGTTGATGCAGTTGATAATTTGCAATCGTTCGCCAAACGTTTACTTTCTCTCGGCACAGAATATTGACCATTAGACTGTCTTAACCTAATATCACTTAGGCATCATGCTATCATTATAATATAGCTGTCCCAGGTCCACTAGGTCGCTCCATTACACACACTGAATTGTGTTTTTACTTGCTTTTTGTTTCAGTGAATGTTTATTTGACGATATGCACTCTCGTTTTACATTCATAGGGAGTACTCCTCATTTTGATGGATTCATTGCGACAAGCCTTTGCTCGCACTGCTCTGAGCGTTGCGGATTATGTCGTACCAGTTTTGCGCACTTCAAGGTTCAAAGAAACAGGAGTTATCACGCCAGATGAATTTATCGCCGCTGGTGACTTCCTTGTTCATCACTGTCCAACTTGGCAATGGTCGTCAGGCGACAAGCCGCCAAGAAGCTATCTCCCGGCTAGAAAGCAATATCTGGTTACGCGTAATGTCCCGTGCTACAAGCGCATCAGCCAGATTGATAACCATGACGAGGAACTTGAAAAAGTAGTGGAGGATGACGAATTCGGCGAAGGCTGGGTCGACACACACCATTACGCCACGACATGTGGTTAGTCTTTTTATTTCTGACACTGATTTGCTTTCCTCTATATTTCTTTATGTTATCTGATGCCTTCTTCTCATTCAGCCTCGGCACTTGCATCAGTTGCTGGTGCTGTTGAGTCAATTCGAATGGCACTTTTCGGAACACCATACGCCATCAGTCGCTACGGGGTGGGGGGGGGTTCGATATTTTTTCGTCCGCTTGCACCAAACTATTACTTAGAATAGCAGTTCCCAATCGTGCTCAACTTATCCGCATAGTTCTCCAATGCTTTTCCCATATCTCTTCGAATTAACCGAGTTTACTTGGCTTAACTCGCCGTCATTCGTACCAAGTCAACTAACTGCCAGGCATAGATCTAGCCCAGTATTGCAGGATGTTGAGTAAGACAAAATCATATGTTGGTTTCCCATTCACGCTTACATCGCGATGTAGTCGGATTTTTCCACCTACAATACTGCATCCGATCACTCATTGTTTTCTGCTTTTGTTTCCATGTTGCGGCAATTTTCAGGCGCGTCGCGCTATATATATATATATATATATATATATATATATATATATATGGTAGGCGATATCCGGTTTCGGATTTGCCTGTCACTGTGGCCAGCCACAGGACGCGTGCGCTTACTGAAAGACCATGGGTAGCTGGCGCTGCACCACCCACAGCTCCATCCACTCACCACATCTCCAAAGTAAACCCAAAGGTATAAGACAGGGAAGCATGCGGATGGGAGCCACGTTTCATCAGCCGAGCTGGCGCGCACTGCTTCAACATGCACAACTGCAGCATTCCTGTCTATGTAGGGAATCATGCGGATCAAACGTACACAATGCGGTGGTAGGGCCGTAGTCCGCTTTACATTAAATGGAACCACTCTTTGAGCCCAGCACGGCTACGAGGACCGTGCATCCCGTCCCCACCAGCACCGATTCAGAGCCAGTAATCGAGTTGAAGGACAGGCAGGTTTGTGTGCCTCAGTGATCCATTGAGCGATGCTGGGTTATTTTTTTGCACCTTCAGAGCCACTCATCCCAGATCGGTCAATGTTATTGGCCAGACAAACTCTGTCTCCTGACCCTACAGGTTGTGGGTTGAAGTGAGGATGGCTCATTACTCCATAAAACGGGCTCTCTGTAGTCCAGTGCCAAAACCCCGCCGCCTTGCGGTAAGCTTTTTGAACTAAAGGCTTTGGTTGAGAACCCTAATCGTTCTCCTGTCTAGGCCTGGATAACCTGACAGTATTCTGCCCACGAAATACAATGGACCTTTCTTCCAACATTTTCTTGATGCTCTGGCCGTCGCAGAGGATAATCAAAGGCGCACTATCTGCTGCATCGAGCAGTGTGGATAGGGGTTAGGATGCTACTGCTCAGGCCTTCCCGTCCTCTTATACCCCTTCTTGCGCTTTTTCGTCCTTATCGTCCCGCTCCAACTTTACTTATATCCCCCCATTTTCAATCCCCCAATCCTTGGCCCTCCCCCAGCTTACTTCAATAGTCGCTTGTCTTCTAATTTCAAATCACATACAATCGCAGGGCCTCGCTCCAACCCAGTCGACAAGTCCATGTTCAGCCAAGCGGACAACGTCAGTTCATCCGTTTCCCTTTAGAGTCCTCGCGTCTAGCTAAGACTGGCATTCCTCAACGTGAACGCTTTGCTACAAAGTGATCAACAGGCAGCACTTGCTCGCACACTTGAGACCCTATCGATCGATATTTGCGGTTTATCAGAAACCCCCCTGCAAGATTCGAGCTCCGTGGTTCCCTTTGATCCCCCAATAGCGGCACATTCTCATTGCGCCTGTCTGGCGATGATGCAGCTTCAAATGCCAGTCAAGCTGGCATCAGCATTATTTTGAGTCCCCGGACTGAAGGTACCCTGACCGATTGGATCTCAATCAACAGTCGGATATGCGCCGTTAGATTAGCTGGTTCCTTCCATGCTACGAAGTCGCGCGGGAAAAAACGGTACCTCTTTGTCATTGCGGCCTGCGCCCCTACAAACTGTAGCACTGATTCGGTAAAAGATGATTTCTATCAGCAACTTCACGATCTCCTTCGTTAAAGAAGAAGCACGGCTACTATGGTGTCGGCTGGTGATCTAAACGCCCAAATCGGAAAATTGTCCTTTGAGGAGCTTCATCTGAGCGGCCGACATGGTGTAGGCTCCCGTAATTATAACGGTGAGCGATTGCTACATCTGTGTGAAGGTGTTCGTCTCTTTCTCGCGGGCACAAACTTTGGACACAGCACCCGCAGAAGCGTGACTTGACGCCCACCAACCTTAGGCCAGCTATGGACGCAGATCGATCACATCGCGATCAGTTACAGCTGGAGAGCCTGCGATTTGGAGCACGAGCGTGCCCTCTGACCACCTACTTGTCTGCCACCAATCATATATAGGCGGCATCCGGTTCCGGATTTGCCTGTCACTGGGGCCAGCCACAGGACGCCTGCGCCTACAGAGGGACCATGGATGGCTTGCGCTGCACCACCCACAGCTCCAATCACACACCCCATATCCAGTGTACACCCGAAGGAATAAGACCGGGAGACATGTGGATGGGAGCCACGTTTCAGCAACGGAGCCGGCCCACACTCCTTCAAAGGCAGACACAAACACGCGCAAATAAGGCGGTGGCTGGACCGTAGTCCGCTCCACACTGAGTGCATGGAACCGCTCTTTGAGCCTAGCACGGCCACAAGGACCGTGCACCCCGTACCCTCCAACAACGACCAGCTGTCACCTGGAGCCAGTATGGACGAGGTATTAGGTAATAGACAGGAAGGTACCTTGTCAATATGCACATCAAGCGCAGCCACACCGGGGATATCAAGCAACAGCCAATCACTTGAGAGCAAGATAACAAGGAAAATAAATCCAGTAATGCATATGGAAACGGTGACATAAATCTTAAATTAATGAGCAGATGAAATAAGTTGTTAACAAACGATCCGAAATAAGTTCAGGGGGTCAGAAAGCATATTTCACGGAAATGCCACAAACACCAAAATGTTATCGAAATAACTACCATTGGCTTAAGCGACGTGTACAAGTTTATAGAAGAGAGTACAAGTAGACATTTATATGAGAAAGAAAAGCATTAGGACAAAATCGAAAACCCACCACCTGCAATAAATAGACTTAACCTGCAAACATGCGGTTAGTAGATCGAATGCAGCGTGCCTACAAAAGCTGCGACGGTTCTGCCTACGTTCTCTGCAGGACCCGTCGTCGCTTCGGTAGTGGTCCCGAGTGGCCTCGCTCATGGCTCACTAGGCCTGCCTGACTCAGGCACTGGCGACCGCATGTGCTACAGCACCATGCGCTTGATGTCGATGGAGTACAATTCATAGGTGCTTGCCGCTTCCGCACTTGCCGCTTCTTCTCTACTTGCATGAGGGCTTTCTCCCGCACTTCAGCAACTGCCTTCATGATTAGATCGCGCCATGCACGCCGATCAACTGCCTTCGATTCCCATGACTTGCAATAAGGATTACAACGTGAGAGGCTCACTTTGATCATGTCCTGGTATCGTAACTTTGGTTTTCCCACATGCCGCTTCCCAACGCTGAGCTGACCATATAATAGCTGCTTCGGCATCCGCGTCGAATCCATACGACTCACATGACTGAGCCAACTCAGGTATCTGAGCAAAAGTATGCAGTCCACTGCATACATTCCACTTTGTCGTAACACTTCCGTGTCAGCAACTCTGTCGCCCCAACGGATAGGCTAAATCCGTCGCAAGCACTGCTGATGCAGTTGCTCGAGATCTCGCACCTCCCGCCGGCACATCGTCCACGTTTCACTGCCGTATAGAAGAACGGACAGTACCATGGATTTGTACACCATCAGCTTCGTGCCAACGATAAGCTGATATTTATTCCACACTCGGTACTCAAGCTTTCCGAATGCCGCCGCTGCCTTCGACACTCGGATACGCAGCTCACTGTGTATTTGCTGATCAGTCGACATCACACTCCCAAGGTAGCGGAAGTGGGAGGTGCTTTCCAATACTTCAGCACCAATGCTGATTCGCGGCAATATTGAAGATTTCACCTCCGGTGAAGGCTGAAAGGGACAGACAGTTTTGTTTGTTTTAATGGTGAGCCAGAATTCGGCCGCTGTCGAAGCCAGAGCACTAGTCATCTGCTGTGTGGAAACGACGCACAGTCGTCAGCCAACAGCAATATACGGATAGTTGTCTCACAGACTAGAGTTCTCGCACCGAAACGACGGATGTTCAGCAACCCACCATCAATACGGTGCTCCACACGAACACCGTAAGCACAAGCGGCATCAAAACACAAGACAACATTGCATGAAGATATATATTAAACAGGGCAGGAGCTACGACACAGCACTGCTTTACACCAGAGACAACTGCAAAGTCATCCGAGATCTCTCCACTCAGCTGCACCCTCGCTCGCATACCACTGTGCAGACATTCAATTAAACTTACAAACTTACGCGGGCAACCAAACGTACCCAACACCAGCCACAATGCCTCGCGGTTCACCGTATCAAATGCCTTGGTGAAATCAACAAAAAGTGAGTACAATGGCTGGTGTCGTTCTCTGCACTTCTCTTGCAACTGACGAGCCGCAAACACCATATCTATAGTGCTGCGACCCGAGCGGAATCCACACTGCTCTTCTGCCACGTTAGATTCCACAACCTGACTGACGAAGCGGTTGAACAGGATCCGGGCAATCACCTTGCCCACACAACTCAGCAAGTTGATGCCACGATAATTCGTGCAACATTGCTTGCTACCTTTGCCCTTGTACCGTGGTAGCACAAGGGCGTCCTTCAGCTCAGGAGGCACCTCCTCAATCCACACGCGTTGCACCAAGTGGTGCAGCGCAGTCAACAACGCGGGTCCGCCGTGTTTCAATACTTCAGGCGGGATCCCGTCGGCCCCAGCACACTTCAGGTTTCACAGCTGAGCAAGTGCTCTCTGCGTCTCATCCGGTGTCTGCGTGTACGCCAGACTCGT